TGGCTTATGTGTAAGGAAAAATGGTGGTATCAGGTCCTTTTTCGCAGAACAATGTTTGTTGCTTTTGGAAGAAATGTGAGTGTCCCCACAACACAAGAGCATTTTTCTGTGTGGTAATAACACCCTATTTGCTTTATGCGAAGCTCTTGGGTTGTAGGCACTTTCAACTTTAAGAAAGGGGACAACTTGAACGGCATTTGTGAGTTGGGATAGTCCTAAAATATGAAATGCACGGTGCAAATTACTGCTGACGAAATTCAAATCATCAATAGATGTAAGGCATTAATGGTTAAGTCCAACTATTATCATAATCTATTTCTGAGATTCGGTGTATCACAAAAGTAGGATGAGGAGAACGGCATCGATCTACTCATTCCCAGCTATCTGTACCAATTGCCCAAACACCACATCTAGATATTTAATGCATCTTTTGCTTCGACTCATGAATTATAAAATCTCCCATTTAAGCTTCTTAAGATACTATTGTTCGAATCCATGTCACTGTGTTTCAAGTATGCTTCATCTTAGGATTTGTTGCCTCTAATATGTCTTTTTGGGATCAGTTGAATCATTAAACTATTTATAAATTAGTTTTTGCTTTAGGTACATTAGATCGAGGTGAAACATTTTTTTATGTTTTCAGACAAATTCTCAATCAATGCTTAAGAGATAAGATCAACTGAAAATTATTCATTAAGATTAACCACTTATTTTTTATATTATTTATTTTGGAGCTTAAACTAAACTCACTCATTATTCTGTACTTCAAAGAAACCTCTGAAGATAAAATTGTGATAAAAGCCACTAAGTTAAAAAGGTTGATAATGTGTTACATATAATGTTATCAAGTTGAAATGTTGATAATCAAGTCATCATATTATCAAATATTCTTCCTTTAAGTCTTCTAATGTATATTATTGCTATAATCAACATCGTATCTTGATTGTTATTACTTTAAAACTTGTTAGATTTATCCCAATTTTGATATAATTTATTATTGTCTTCCTAATCAAAGATCTAAAAGCATGACAATTATTTCAGATTATTTTAAATAAATTTGATTTTTCTCATTTATAATGATTTTTCAAATATAAGTATATTAGACCGAAGCATTATAACTATAAATCATATCATGTTGAAACTTATAAAAGTCTAATCTAACTTATTTAACTCTTAATATAAGTCGTGACCAACAAATGACAATTGGCTGATCTCATGATGAATCAAGGTTTTTAACTATACTCACTAAAATTTTCATAAATAAAATTTGGACAACATTGATCATGATTAGTTACCACTACTCGACCATCACTCTGTCATTTGAAATATTGTAAAAACGATGTAAGATAGATTCAAGAAATACTAGATAAATGATTAGTTATTTTTACTTACAAAATTACAACATTGTCTCAATCTCCCATTGGTCAAAAACTTCTACACAAAACCCTTTAACAATATTAAACATTACGGTTTTTCTTTGAATACGGACGGTAATTGTTAAAAGAATATGTTGCAAAAGTTGAAATTCAATATTTTTATATATTTTTGCTAAAATAGAAAATGTAGTGGAAGATAAAGATTTCACTAATCATCAGTCAATTTTTTAACGGTAATTAATCATCGGCACTAACCTCACTTTGTTTATGTGCATCTTATTTATTTGTAAATTGAATAGTAGTTATTAATTAAAAAAATTACAATAACTAAATTTAAAATTTATTCTTCAATCAAAATCAAACAACACTAAATCATTCAAATATAAATTTAAATTACTTAAACATAATCAAATATTAGAAATATAATTAATCATAGCCAATGTTTTACTTCTTAAACTTAATTAAATTTACATCAAACTATAAAAGTTAATTCTTAAACTTCGTTAAACCCGTTTCAGTAATTGAATTAATAATTAATCATAATAATATAATATAATTATATATAAGATAGTTTAATAAATTATTGTATGTGTATAATAATTACAAATGTGGAATGGATGAGATAGATAATGTGCATACATATACTAATTCTCACTGATATTTGTAAATAAATATTTGGACACAAGTCATTCTCAACAAATAAGTATTTACCTCATTAATGATTTTGCATAACTTTTAAGATAGATATTATAAAACAAATATACTTAGTATAAGTGATAATTTATAATCAGAAGAAATATAAAAAAGACTTTGCACTATTGGTATGTATTTTTTTTATTTTTTAAATAAGTAAGAAATTATATAGTTTATTCTGAATATATTATGATTTTAACATTATGAAATGTAAAATCGTCGTACTTTTACTTGAGCACGGTAAATATAAACTTATCACTTCAAAACTCTTCTTTTAGTAAAGACGTCAGTACAAAATATTCTTATTGAATTGGATACTCAAAGCGTAATTAAGCTAAACCATAGTTTTTTTTATTCTAATGGACGAGTACCTAAAAATTAAATTATTCCAATGAAGTAAGAAATCTTAATTTTCTTTATAAAAGTAAAAACATAAGATTGCCAAATCCTAAGCTCCAATTCGTCGGATCCTGCGCCATTAAAAGTGGTTTCACATCAGCATTTTCTTTAATTATTTGATTGATTTATGTGATTTAAACACGCTTACAAAATTAAAAATAACATATTTGAAACAATCCATGTTTTGTTAGGATATATTTCATAATTAAATATCATAATATTTATCGGTGTCAATTTCTTTCTTATCGGGATCACCGATAAGCAAATATCATAATATTCTATTAATTTATATTACATTTCTTTTTCTTGAAATATCAACATTTGTTACACAAAATCCAGTTTAATGCGAATGGATTTATTTAATGGTGCTGATAAGCGATGATGAACAAATAACTTTCCTAGAATTTGTTTTCCTTATAATTTCTTGGCCGACAAATTTAACATCTCATAATCTCACACTTGATATATTATAGCATTACATTTAAGGTAACATCTCTTAATCTCACACCTCATAATTCATCGTTGATATATATATTTTAAACTCAGATTTCAACTATAAACTCATAAATAAAACTTGAATTCTTCTAATTTATTCTTCTATCTCTTTAAAAACTTATCGAATAGACTTCCAGGAAAGATAACTTGAATTCTTCTAATTTATTCTTCTATCTCTTTAAAAACTTGTCGAATAGACTTCCAGGAAAGATAACTTGAATTCTTCTAATTTATTCTTCCATCTCTTTAAAAACTTGTCAAATAGACTTCCAGGAAAGATAACTTGAATTCTTCTAATTTATTCTTCTATCTCTTTAAAAACTTGTCGAATAGACTTCCAGGAAAGATAACTTGAATTCTTCTAATTTATTCTTCCATCTCTTTAAAAACTTGTCGAATAGACTTCCAAGAAAGAGATGTGCGTCACAATGGACAACTTAAGTACCAAGTCTTTCCTTAGCCAAAGTGTTCGTCAACTAATTTTAACAAATTTCTTATTTACAGATTCAAAACAACAACATATAATATTAACACAGAAATTCAATAAAGATAGATATATAACAAGCACCTATGTTTTCATTAACAGATTTTTTAATATTATTTATTATTTTAATATTATTTTATTATATTAATATTTTAATCATCACTTAACATTTGGATCCCTTAATGCCTTCAAACTTGGAGTGTTTTATCCACTATCAATATTTTAAAAAAAAATTAAAAAAAAATTATTTATTTATTAATTTTTTTTAAAGAAAAAAGTAGAAAAGAGTTTGAATTCACATTCTTAAAATCCCACAATTTTTTACCATTTAAGCTACCAAAATTTCTTATTTAACTTTTCACATTTTATAAACTTATTATATTTTCTATTCACAAAGAAATTTATTACTACTAATAATAAAATTATTACTATTAAGGTACATATTTTTCATGGGTCTTACAACAAAAGCTAACCTTAGACATTGTATTTAGTTTTACAAATAATTGTTATATAGTCCATTTTACTGAATCCTAATTTTATCTTTCGAAATCCTAATTTTAATCCTTATATTAATATTCTGTAAGGTATTGAATAGTGAACTACCGCATAAATTACCAAAAATCAATTCAAAATGGATACAATTTTAAAATTACACTAAATTTTATCTTTTCAAAATGTAAATAAAAATAAACAAATAAATAAAAGGTTGTGCACATTACCCTTGTAACTCTGACTTTAATCTAACAAAATATTATTAAAATAAAAACAAGGATAAAATTTAAAAAACGCATAAAATCTGAAACAGTTTTTTCATCCATTTTTGTGAATTATTTTACCGATTTTGCTTAAATGGGTTTAGCTTTTCCCGTCCCAACATCTATTTTCATCCTTTTGAATCCAAGCACCAAATACCTCAAATTTTCTTAAATGAATCCCACAAATCTCATTTTATCAATAAAGATGTCCTGGTAAATTAAAATAATAATAATAATAACCAGATAAAAATCAAAGTTTTATAATATTTCAAGAAAACAGAAAACTAATACGTAAACCCACGTAAAAGTTAGGAAACCCTTGCCTATCAGGAACTGCTTAAATGGTGGTTCTTGTTAAACAACTGCCCTTATAAAAGAGTTAAGCAACTCCCACTCCTCAATTTGCTAAAAAGCCAAACCGATTTGAACCAATCCAACTTTACTCAATGAGAGGCATATTTCATAATTTCAAGAAATCTTAAATATCCCTCTTCATACAATACACGAGAAATAGTTATAAGGTTGCATTGATTTGTTTATCTAGCTTTACTACAACAGTATTACAATAAAACTTAAAAGAAAAAAATCATAAATTCAGACTGCTCAAATTATTTGTCTGCAAATTCAGGTCTGCTGTTTCGTAAAATATGCGATTTGACTGCCTCAACAACATAGCTCGGCAACCACAAATCAAATTAGATAACCACGCTAACCAGAGAAATTGAATAGCAAACCAATAAAGCAAACTAATAGAATAATTAAGAAATCATGCTAATGTTTCATCAACAGCAAACAAGATAAAAGATAATCAGACTCCAGATTCTTGAAAAAATATTCGGCGTTCTGTAGTACAAATTAAGAGCTAAAAACCCAATCTGAGACTCAAAAACAAAATCTCCGTATGGAGCACTACTGTTCATGCAATTGTCAAATCAGTTAAACTAATCCACAGACAGGACCGAAAAAGACCCAACCTGAGAAATGTATAAAAAATATTCTAGTCCTAGACTACTAGGTATGGTCATAAATAACCTTCAACTGATATACAATATTCAAGCCTCGTGTAGTATTTTATAAATTATAACATTTCTGTATTAATCATAATAGCTAAGGAGGGACTTTGACTCTACCTTTAGGTTGTACGAGAGTCATTGCCTTCTCGATCCCCTGGTATTTCTTACCCTTTTTTATACTGCAGGTATGGACTGCTTTTCTTCAACAACAGGTGCCCTCTGGTCCCCAACAACTGGTTCACTCGGGATGCATGGTCTCCAAATTATTTCGTTGCCCACATCCATTAGTGCAATGCCCTTTGCAGTCAAATCAGTCCTAATCTTATCACTTCTGAGAAAATCCTTATTAACCCTAGCTTGAGTTCTTTCTTCTATCAAATGTAGCAATTCACCTTCTGCCAGACCTGCTCTCTTCAATGCCTTCTCTTTCAACTGCTGCAGAACCTGATGAACAAATAACAATAACAATTGTTTCAACATTTGCGATGGTTTTCCGACAGAATGCATCTTTAGATTACATAAAACGGGGCAATTGAGCTCGTGTAAATAAAATGAATCACCTCAGCATAGGATTTAGAGGACAATAATCCAAGTACGTCCAAAACTTTTGCAACTTCCTTCTCAACTTCCTGTAAGGATTGAATCAATTGCAACTGTGCTCTTTTCTGCATTTTCTTCTGTAAGATAGACAGAACATATTCATAAATTACTGGTGCAATTCCCACACAAAAATGAATGCAGCAGCACCACTCATGCAATGCAAGAAATTGGTTCCATTTACGTACCTTCAACATCTTCAATGAACTGTTCACAAATTTCAACGCCTCTTGGATAGCACCAGTTAGTATCACTGGCGTCTGCAAGTCATCTGACATTTTTGTTTGAAACTCAACACTCAACTTCTTAATACACTCCTTGGCAGCCTCATTAATTTGAGGCACCTTTTCATTCTTCTCGGGTCCTTCTTGAAGAAATGGTGATAAAGCATCTTTACAATCTTGAAGAGTCTAACAAACAAAAAGGAAGCTGTTTCAAACAATTTCCCAAGCGTAATGGCATTGTTAAAGCTAAAAAAATAGCAGCATCGCAGTTATCTGTAGATTTCATAATTTATGTCAATGCAACTAAATCATAGTGAAAATTGTGGTAGAGTTAAGAGAAATTATTTTTGCAGCAAGAGTACCACCCAACCGTGATAAATCAAACTGTTTCATACAAGTCATAACAAGAACACCGAGGAGACATAATTTCCCTAATAATGAGACTCACAAGAGTCAACCTTGAAACATTTAGAAATTTAAAAATATACACTAGAGATTTAATAATTTAGTAACTACCTTCATCCTCAAAAACTCAAAGTAGCGGGAAAGAAGCACAGGAAATTATATCTCTAAGATACAAGTTGCTTAATTTACATAGCAGTATTTATAACTTCTTATACATTCACAATAAAGGCGAAACTTCACAGGCTTAACCCCAAATAAAAACAAAATTAATAAAAGATTATATAAGAGCAAAACTATCAACCTTGAGAGATGAACTCGTGCACATCAACATCTAAGCAACAACACTCAATTCCTGATACAGATTATTTGGAGGCTACTTACCTGAAATATATAGTAAATAGCATCTGATGAATTCTCCAGCTGTAAGATAGAGTAATTTAGTGGAGACCTGTAATGGGCACTAATTAAAAAGTGTCTCAAAGCAAGTGGATGGTAACGCTCAGTGATCTGCAAAAAAGAATATCTTTAAAAATATGCGCAATACATCTTGTAAGAACTTATATCATGAAAAACCTTCTACAAACATTTAAAAAGAAATGAAACCATCATTAACAAGGAGAATGGAAGTTGGCTAAGAACTGACCTGGCGAATGGTGAAAAAGTTGCCTAAGGATTTTGACATCTTTTCATTATTATTAGTGACATGGCCATTATGCATCCAATAACCGACATGGCTCTCATTGTCAGCAGCCCAGCTCTGTGCGATCTCGTTTTCATGATGAGGAAATATTAAATCAATTCCACCACCATGAATATCAAATTTATGAGTTAAATAACAAGCACTCATTGCACTGCATTCGATGTGCCACCCAGGTCTTCCAGGACCCCAAGGGCTGTCCCAACTAGGCTCACCTGGTTTAGCAGCCTGCAATTATTATTATTGTTAAGAAATATAAGAGATTAAATGTTAACAATAAAACATTTTAGAATAACTGGAAAGGATTCTCACACCTTCCATAAAGCAAAATCAGCTGGGTGACGCTTTCTCGAGTCCACAGCCACCCGTTCCCCAGCTCTGTTGTGTTCTAGCTTTTGTCCAGAAAGCATGCCATAATTTGGACATTTATCAACAGCATAGAAAACATCGCCCTCAACTTCATACGCATATCCATTGTTGATAATCTGCATCGTACATTAATGAATAATAACTAACCATCTTTTGAATTCTAAATTAATTCCTTAGAATTCAGAAACAAAGACAAACTTAGTAAAACCAAATCCAATGAAATTATAATTTTTCATTATTAAACTTTTACGACATACATTTAAATAAAAATGACATGCAACCTCGATCAGATGTTTCATGTTTTAATTAATAAATAAAACTGCTACTTTGTCACGGGTTTTAAAATTCCTATGCAGATATATGAAAACAAGAAATAAAGAAAAATATAAGGTGAAACTTTGGAAGTGAGATAAAGACATGAAGTTTTAAAAAAAAAATATCAAAGCAAAGAAGCTGTAAGTTTGTTTTCATTTGAAGTCTCATTAATATTTCAGTTGGAGATTGAATGCAGCTTCCGAGCTTCATATCTCTCAATATTAAAAAATTTAAAACAACTAGCCTTTTAACCCTTGTTTTGCTTTCATAGTTCCTGCTTAGTTTTAATTTATTTATTAACAAGATAATAGGATACACTATACATTACATTGCTGGAAGAAAGAAGGAAAAGATTTTATATTTAATATTATATGTAAACATATAGAAGTTCAATAGTTTGGGGAAGCAGGGTGGGCAAAGCGTGAGAACAGACAATCTAAATTCATTCCCACTAGTCACTAAAACAATAAATAGTACACAATAGTGTACAGGAAGTTTATTAACCCGTAATGTATACAAGGTTTAATTTAACCTGTTCAAAGAAACATATAAACTCCAAATGCACTTGAAAAAAAAGGAAAGTATTGATTAATATAAAACAGCATGCAAGACCATCAACTGGAATTTAATTAAAAAAAGTGGAGCAAAGAACTTTTTTTTGCAAGATGATTCCCTTCATAATTTTAAACAAAAACAGAAACAGCAATATGTTTAGCAAAACTAAACCTGGGTTATCATGTCCTTTATCTCTTCAAGGTGTTGAGAAACACGAGGTTCCTTAGATGGTGTCTCGCACTGAAGATCAGACATATCAATATTATATTCATCGCAAAAACGATTACTCAACATGAATGGATCCTCCCCGGTCTCATTTGCTCGCTTAATTATCTGCAGCAATTCTGATATTATCAGTCTGTAATAAACATTAAAGATTCAGATACGAAAAACCCATGTAAAGTCATATGCTTTCAAGGACAAATGAACTTGATGAAACTTCTAACCAAGGATTGGGAAGATCCAACCTAAAGCTCTAGCAAGAATTTATGCATATAAACAGCAGAGAAATGAAAATAATCTTTAAATCACAAAAGTTAATTAAAAGTTAAATTAAGTATGAATAAGATCAGATGCCAACTCAACAAGTCAAAACCCCATGCGGTAGAGAACCACTATCAAAACTATCTTGGTATGGAATAGTCCACACAAAGTGTGAGTATAGATTAGAACAGGGACAGATGGATTTGGGACACCGACAAAGGAAATTTCAGCTCCACATGGAAGACAGGAAAATGGGCGGGGGGCGGGTTGAGTGATAGGGGAGGATTGAGATCAAAATATGGAGAGGGTAGTGTGCTGCTTCACCAGAGACAACTAACAGAAATCACACCCGTTTCAGGTTCACAACTCCTACAAGCTTGTTGATCCTGTGAGTTTGTCTGGCAATCTTACTCCAATCCCACCAGATTACAATGCTAGGCAGGGACAAAAGTTAAAGATGTGAGCTTGCAGGATCATGCAATCCTGTGAGAAAAAACAGTAGCAATTTTGACAGCAATGCCTCAGAGAATGATTGTTATAACTAAGCATGCAGGTAAACCAGCATTGCTAAAAATAGGCTCATCATTCAAATTCAAAAGGATGACAACTTATAGTAAAGAAATAAGAAGTCAACAACAATAAAGAAATAAAGATGGTCAAACGATAGAAAAAAGAAAGACACCACAAAGTTGAAGATTGACACATGAGCTATTCTCAAAAAGGACGGTGCCTCCAGACACTTAGACTCCTGAAGCACATAGAAATATGTACTGTATGGATGGCTTATTCTTAAAGTTATGTCCACATAAAAATTACAGTTAAAAGCACACATGAAATATATCTCAATGCAATTCTCTGTCCAGTTGAAAACATTTTGGAAGATAATACTAAACAAAATAAGGCTTGATATCAATTGAAACCCTAAAAAAGTCAACCCTCTACCATAAACTTTGATCACTTTGACAAATGAATCCTAAATTCACAGAACAGAAAACATGGTAACTAACAGGGGTGACCTGGATGTCTGGATCAAAGAATTTATATTCTGACTCGAAAATAATATTATTTAAAATCATTATTCACTCCATGTCCCCATTTCCCAATATTAAGCCCTATTCATCTCTTAAGTGATTTCATATATTTATTGTTCTCACAGTGGGTTAGGGCATATGTAACAGAAATTGAGATTCTTGCAAACTCCTAAGAGAACTACTCTTAATCCAATAGCAGAATGGCACATGGACAGAATAACCCTACAAGCCATTTGATTAAATTTAAAATTTTATTTAATAATAATTAAAGAACATTTCAGTCATTCGAGAGTATTGCTCTCAATACATAAGTATTGATAGAAATGGAATGGATCATTTTTTAATACTATTTTACAAAGAAAACCAATAAATCAATTTTTCTTAACCCATTTTTACTTCAAGCAGACCATAAAAGAAAATAATCATGGAAAAATTACAACATTTGTTAGAGAAGGAACTACCATATATTGACCCAGATCTACTTAATGTATAATACAGACTACCTCCACCTGATCTACTTATAATATAACCCATTTTTACCTCCATACCAAACTGACTATAAAAGGAAAGATCATGGAAAAATTACAACATTTATTAGAGAGCGAACTGCCGCATATTGACCCAGACTTCAGAGAAGGGACACAAACCTTATTTCAATCGTTATAGCATTGACAGTATACATTCACATAGTTTCATTTTGCCCCTGTATATCATTTACAGATACAGTGGGGCATAAATGTAGAAGTGATAAACAACCAGAGTCATGCAAAGGAAAGAAGGATGAAAATTACTAAAAAAAAAAGAAAACTCAAAGACTCATCGCAACGAAAATCGCAGCTGAATGGTGAAAAGGTCTAAAAACCCAGAAGTTGCAGCTCTGGTTGCAACAAGATATAATCTTATAATGCGACAATAAAACACTGGTGAGAAAGACATCGTATTCATCCTCACCTTGTCATCAACATCAGTGAAATTCCGCACATATGTTACTTCATAGCCCAAGTGCTTAAGGTACCTACAAGTTTTCATGTCAAACAGAGTACAAATCATGTGTCAACTCTCAATCTTCACATCAAGAAAAAGTGAAATTAAGAGTGAGCAGAAGAAATGTTTCAAAACAAGTATTCCAATTTAACCTTTTAAATGCTCCGGGATAGTCTAATATCTAAACCTACTTAAATCTGGCTAATAATAACAGCCAAACAAACCAATTCAACTACACATTTACATGCTTATAAACAAAAGCAAATAAGCCGAATACGAACTGAACCTAAATGATGAAAAGACAGCATCTGAAACAACTTTAAAACCCTATGCTAGATTCCCAATTTCATGGGTACAGAAACAAGTAGAATGAATTGAGGCATGGCAACGAAATGAAAAGAGGGGTGGTGAGAATTGGAGAATGGATGGTGAGAAAAGTACCTGTGGAGGATATCGAAGGAAACCGCGGCACGAGCGTGGCCGAGATGGCTGAAGTCGTAGGCAGTCACTCCGCAAACGTACATGGAAACCTTACCAGGGGTTTTGGTTTTGAAGATCTCTTTCTGCTGAGTCATGGAATTGTAAATCCTGAAACCGCCAAGCTCCTCTTCAGCCATTGCTACCAGCACACCAACACACAGACTCTCTCACCACACCACACTCTTCGGCTATCACCGGTTCAGCCCTAATTTCTTTTTTCTGTTCTTTAAGCCCGGTCCCTTCTACCATTCACGTTTGACTTTATAAATAATAAATAATAAAAATCATCATCATTGTTATTAAATATAATATATTGAGATTAAATATTTTTAAGGAAATTATACTATTATATAATTATTTATTTTCTTTTAAGTTTAGCGTTTTCTTTCAGTTACGTAATTGACGGCGTTGTTCCTTATTATATCTCTTTCATTTAAGGTTATTTATTTATCATCTTAATTTGTACAAGGATCATGTTAACAATTTTTTTAATAATTTTTTAATAATAGATTATGTTTCATTATTCTATTAATTCGTAAATTTAAAATAAACCAATCACTAATTATCATATAAATTGTTGTAAAAAAGTTATAAAAAAAATTATTAAAAAAACATTTTCTTTTATATAATAAGTGATTTATTTACTTCTTTTCATTTTTGTGTTTCCTTCTTTGAATTACCTCATTGACTTTCTTGATTATCTATATCTTAATCATATAAAACTTGTAAATGACAATGTTGTTGTTGTATTCAAAATATATAATTATAGGCTTATTAACTGTCCATTTAAATTAATTAATTGCTTGAATGAAAAAAACAAGTTTTGACAAAAGTAAATCATAAATCAAGATTGAAAAAAATTATATATAATAGTTAAGTGATTCAGATGAGGTTGTGTTCTTTCCCGTAATTTAACTATGCTCCTTACCATGATTTGGTTAGGACCAAGTAAACTGTCCAAGAAAATACTTGAACATTATAAGATCTTTAATTAAAACATAAGATTTGAGTGAGTTTGACCATATCCACACCGTAGGAAGAGTATTAAATATTTTCAGAATAGTTTTTGCCTCCTTTAATCAGCGTAAGAACTTTAGTATTTTGATTTTACTTAATCGCTATTTACATTATTTTTTATTAGGTCTTTCACTGTTTATATAGTTAGAGAATGTCGAGATATAGTATAGTTATGATTTATGTTATACTTTTGTGTTTAATTGTTATTTAATTGTTATTTAATTGTGTTCATAAACTAATTATGCATTAATTATGACCATTTTTACAAACCGCGTATTAAAACCCAATACATAGATAAAAATGAAAAATAATTATGAAAGTCGACTGATTCTCATTGGGAAACTTGAAAAACAATATAAATAAAAAGTAAATAAAATAAATATGTAACTTTCTTTTTCAGCCAAAATTAAAAAAATCATTAAAAAAGGACAGCGTGTTGAAAAAGAAAAACACCATTAAAAAGTTTGCTTCATGAAAATAACTGGAAGTGCTAAAAGAAGTAAACATAGCAACAATAACAATAAATTCAATTAGTTACAACTTACCTAATTAACTTAATAACTTATATATGTAATGCACTGGGTTATAATAGGCATCACAGTGAAATTTGAGTGTCCAGAAAAAAAAAATAGGGTGCAGAAAGAAGCCTAGTCAATAATGAAATACACATACCCAATTTAAGTTGAGCCCCAACTAGAAGAAAAAAAATCATAAACCCTAATTATGACCTGACCTACGCTCTCCTGCTTGCCAGCGCCGCACGGGCAAGTTAACCAAAACTGATTATGAATTTTACATTAGGTTTTCAATGTGAAATTTTGTAACAGCAGCAAAATTTGTTCCCATTTTTAAATAATATTGGGATATTTTTTTGAAAAAAAAAATGGTTACATTTGAAACTAGTCAATTGAAATATATATTGACTTAACAAAAAAAAGGTATTTATATATTTTTTCCTTTATGGCAAACATGATTGGAATTGAAAATCTATAAGCTTCATTATTGCTGTATAGGGGTGATGTTTCATTTTAACCAACACTTCAACAATTGAAATTATAATAGTTTAATACATTTATGGTCAGTAGAATGTCAAAATAACATATTGTCTACAATATAATATTTTGATGATTTGTATGAAACGCGTCAAAGTAAAATAAGATTTTACTTCTTATTCAATGTTCTTCATTCTTCACTTTAAAAAAATATAATAATAATAAGTTTATTGAAACAGAATTGATTTTATGGGCAGAGTTGATATCAATGTTTGAAGTGGATTCATTCTTTGACTATATAAAATAAAGAGACAACTTCTTGTTCAATACTAGAATATTCTATTTACCAAGAAACATAAAAGGTTTATTAATTTTTGGTACAATAGGGTTATGTCCATTTGAATTTTAACTTGGTCATTTCAATGTAATTATTTATTTCATAATTTTTATTTTTGGTATAAGTTTCTTTAACATTTTTTTTATAAAAAACATTTACTCAAATTTAACTGTACTTGCTATGTGATATAGTAATTTCTAACAATTTTTAACACTTAAAAGTTGTTTAAATTTTAATAATACAATTTTCAAAATAATTTCTAAAAATGCATGATACCAAATAAAAATTATTTCTCACTAAATATTATAAAATATTTTGACATTTAACATCTGATCGTAACTTAATTATGGCAAGTGAAATTATATATCAGTATTATAAACAAATATAAACATGGTTTGTCTTAGTAGTATTGTTTATATAAAATTAATAATTATATATAATAATAAAACATATTAAAAAAGTATCTGAACACTAAATAATTAATTATACATAATATTTATAGTATTTAATTATATTTTATTTTAATAATTGGTCAAAAATAATATATCATAGATAAAAATTATACCAAAAATTACATTAAAAATTAAAATTGTCGAAATATGTTATATGAAAAACAAAAATACGTCAAAATGAATTATTATTTTACACATCAAATATAATCTACTTACGTAGTAAACATACTCGCTTAATTAAATAATTAAAATTCAAATATAAAATAAATATATTAATATTATTGGAAGACTAATTCATGAATTTCTTTTGCTATTGTATTAAAATAGAAATAATAAAAAATTATGTGAGGAATATACATTTTATTTTATAATATACGGCTCAATTATACTTGCTTCTGTTCGGTTCACTTAAATGTTTTTTGACCAAATAATTTACTTAATCCTGTTTTCACTTATGCTGTTTATTTCTCTGTACAAAAATTGAATCTTTTTAATAAATTAAGTTAATATGTAAAGTTTCTCTTGTCTAATTTTTCAAAATATCATTTTTATTTAGTATGTAAGTTAGTTTCAACTACTACAAATTGCCATAGTATAAGTTTATTTATTAGTAGAAAATTATTTATTTTTAAAAATTTTATACTAACTAATTTTAATAGAAAAATATATTTTTATAAAATTTTGTGCATTTTCTTACTTTATAATATATAGAGAGATGTAAAAGAAAAAAAATGAAATTTTGAGAAAGTAAAAATATTCTATATTTATTTAAATTTATATAAAACTGTCAGACTAACCAATGGAGTTACCTAATTTATTATGAGAACTTAAACTTAAAATTTATATCTTATAAAAAAATTATTATGTGACAAAAAGAGAGAGGATAAATTAGAGTCCATAAATAAAAAAAAATTATAAGGTAACATAAAAATTTATTATGAAACACACATGAATATGTATGTATTGTTTTCTATATTTATTTAAACAGTGATTACTAGTTTAAATCATTAAAATGTATATAGTTTAGTAGATAATTTAAAAATTATATATATATATATATATATATATATATATATATATAATTTTATTTGTGCTTGTAACTCTTTAGTTTTGTTTATGTTTCTAATATTTTGTTCATTCTCTTTCAATTGTTTTGTTTATTCCATATTTATAAAATTTAGATTTTCACCATACCTTCTCTTTTCAACCTTATTCATTTTCTTTGTGTTCCGTTTATGTGATCTCAGTTAAACTAAAGTAAATAGTTATAGGTTATACATTTGATTTTTTTTTTTTACTTATTTTAATATTTTTATTTTTTATATATAAAAAATGTTTGAATTTCAATTTCAAATAAATGTTTGATTTTTTTTTTTTGACTTTTATATTATTTATTTTCTTTAATCATTAGTTTTTTTTTCATTTGAATAACATATGTTTTCTGTGGATCTCAAATATATAATAACCACAATTATATAACTTAGACGTCCACATTTGAAGAAAACAGTCAGAGTAGAATAGTAGTTGAGTAACTAATATTACAGTCATCCACAAAAAGACAGAACTTAAAACTTAAACAGTTAGAGTACTTCAAAATAACACTAACTTAAATTTAGAAATCCTAAAAATACTATACTGCATCATCAACATCCTCGAACTCTTGCTCCAAGGAAACTTCCTCAACAACATCTGTTCTCATCCAAGTGGATGATCATTGCAAAGGAAAACATATACAAGCATCACACAACAAAGAAAGCAAGGGTGAGCTAGATAACCAAGCACTAATCATATAGTTCAATCAATAAATATCATAGTGCTTAGCTACATATAAAGAACAATCAAGGCATACCACTTTAAACCATGACTCAAACACTCACATGACTCATCCGGATTGATATAACTGTCGAACTATTGGTTGTATTTGCACTTGCGTAGTTCAGCTGACACTCCCCAACACTATGCAAGGTAAATCTCTCATCTGTCTACATCTAAACTCTAAGACTGTAGACGAGAACCTCTACTCTCATCACTTACACTGCTCTCCTCTATTTGAGCATGAACAGTGTTTCGAGTGTACGGATAAACATACCAGTTCAAAGCTCCATACAGTTATACAGAACAACAACAACACCCTCACACATCACTTTCAATCATCTCACCCCGAGATGTTCACTTCATGCTCAATTACATCATTGTAGTTCACATTCATATGCTTTACAACCAATCAACAACACCATACATACATCCTAACAATCAAACAACATCAATCAATCCAAACAGAAGAAGAAAAATGAGTGAGATCCCCTCCATGCACCAGTTTACGTTCATATATATATATATATGTATGTATATATATATATGTATGTATATATATATATGTATGTATATATATATATGTATGTATATATATATATGTATGTATATATATA